AGACTTCTTCAATACTAAAAACGAATTTTTGTCTTTAAAATTTGATCAAATTGGACAAAATCCTATAATTCTGGAACTATTGATCCTTTTTTTTAACATTATTTTTATGTTGTAGTAATAGAGTAATGAGAACTCGACCGCTTGGTGTCCTCAGAAAAAAAGATTCACATTTTAATTTTGTGTAGGTATACGTAAAACATTTGTATTAAACTCCTGAAAAAATGTACAAGAGTGGATTCTTTTTAATCTAGCCATAAAAAAGGAAACACAGGTTGAGAGTCTCACACTTTGAAATCTTAATCTGTCGCCCCCTAGTGGAAGTATCAGAAAAAAACACTGCAGCGGACAGAATCACATTTATAGGACAAAATGTCAGACACATGCAAGAAGTAATAAAATAGGACAATTTCAAATTATAATCCAAATTTTAGTGAGATGAAAAAAATATATTTTTGTGTATTTTAAAGGCTTGTATGTAAATATTGATAATGAAAGCCTGAAATCAGAAACACATGTTCACTTAATCAACGCAACAGGATTTGGTTTTTTTACAGCAACACACGGCAATAGAAAAAATAATTAAACATTTGACACTGCAACACTCAACATACAGTATAAAGCAGACAGAACAAGCTGTAGTAAACCAAACGTCAGAAAAACATTACAAGTTGACTAAGTTAAACAATATGGCAGCATGGAGTAAAACAATGATAAATGACAGAAGAACAAAGAAGTCAACAGTGAAGACAGTAAAGTCATCCCCCACCAATAATGCAGTCGGTGTCAGTGAAACATTATAAACATATAAACATTATAATTTATCACTCTCAGTAGTGTTGAACTTGTTTGTTTTTGTTCCATAAAGTGATAAAGCATTTGAGGCCGTGATTTACAGTCAAGTGTCATGCCCTGCTTAAAGCAACTCAGCCACACCATCTTATGATTCGTTGCCTAAAGCTGTAAAAAAATAAAGGGAGGGATCATTATTGATATTATCACTGAATCAATAATGGTGTGGATTGGTGAATGGTTGCTAGTATTGCAAAAAGCCAATTCTCACAAAGCCAATGGCTCCCTAAGGCAAGACTAGACTAGTACTGTTGGACATGTGTTAAAGGGGATTTCCACCAGTACAAAAACAAGGTGATGAGTCACAGAACGTACAGTGATGACATTTGTTGGTCTTGAAAAAAACAACAAGCTTAATAATATTATTCTGTCTATGTGAAGCGGGCCACAAAGACTAGAAGTTCAAAGAGTCCATGGCTCTCTCCAGGCATTAAGCTGAATACAGACGAGTGTTTTGCACTTTGTTTCATTATGAGAAATCTAAAGGACTTGTGCAGCATTAGACATGTAGTTTGCATTTTTCTAGCTCCATATCTTTTACTTTTAGTCATTCCTTTTCCTTCCTGTCTCTTGCAGCTCCGTCATGTATGGGATTGCAATGTTGAATTGTTTGATTATCTCTTGTGATAGCCCACAAACAAGCAGCATCCTGTTGCACATTATTGCAATCTGATGTAGGGCTCGACCTATATGGGTTTAACTGCACATGCATCACCACTTTATTCTCTGCAGCGTGGTAATGCTTTCTTTAAAACTAATAGCACATTCTGCGGGTGACAGCCGGAAAGAGAACTGCTGTAATACAATAAAACTCGAATGAAATGCTATTTGACTAGTAAATAAATCTAGTAATATCGGCACATAGCGGAGATAAAATAAGCCAATACAGATAGTCACTGGATAAGTTACTGTTACAGTTACTGCTCGCATCAAATTTAAAACTCCGCTGCTCGCTTACAAAACAGTGACAAAAACGGCTCCTCCTTACTTTAACGCTCTCATCCAGGTCTGCATTCCCTGCCGCCCACTACGCTCTGCCAATGAAAGGCGTCTGATCCAACCTTCACAACAGGGTACTAAGACTCTGACTGGACTCTTCCCCTCTGTCGCCCCCCGGGGGTGGAATGAACTTCCAAACTCCATTCGATCTGCACTGTCCCTCTGCACCTTTAAGAAAAAGCTAAAGACCCAGCTCTTTCATGAATACCTACTAACTTGATGATGATGGTCCCGATATTATTGATGATGATGATGATGGTTGTGACGCTGGTTTTTGTTTGATAAACGACGACTTATAAGATGGTTTCTATACTGATTAGAGCTCTCAAGACCTGCCGTCAATGTTGTGCTTTGCCTCTGTGCAATGCCTGTCAGCACCTGTGTGTCCAATCGGACTCAAAACTGATCGTTTGCTCTTACTGACATTGTTCCCCCTTTTTCTAGATCCTTGCTTGTGTTGTACTTACTCTCTGATGTACGTCGCTTTGGATAAAAGTGTCTGCTAATTGAATTGTAGAATTGCAGAACTGTAGGATAAGATACCGCCCAATATTTTCGTCTGGCCGATTAATCGGTCAAGCTCTGATGCATGTCAAAGCATCACATTACTGTAACTTTCTCAGGATTTATACAGAATATGATTCCATAAACCTATAGCTACCAAGACTACTAATTTCTTGATCCCTTATAGAAACAGAGTTCTATAACACACCACTTCAGATGACAGATATCAGCCCACATTATGGGCTGATATCATCTGTTACTGGGGTTTGTTACCGGATGAGGTAAATGTTGTAAAAGCTGACAATATTACAATGTTAACTAGTCTATAAAGACAGAAAAAAAAAATACAACTTTTTCAGTTTAGAGAAATATATGAAGTTATTTAGTGATACAATTCTGCAAAACAAATGCAATTGAGAATGGAGTGAATGCTTATTAGTATTTTTAATAAGGTGGGACCAGTTTTTTCAAACAGTAAATGTCAACATAAAAAATTATACAGAAAGGTAGCAGACTGACGTGTCAAATCAACCCATAATAAAAACAAGAAACAACAAAAGAGAAATAGAAACTAAATGATATGTACAGTAAAGTGGGTTATGATGAGGCTGTTTTTAGTGGGTCGCAAAGGTGAGCCTGGAAAAAAAAGTTATTTTTAAAAATGTTTGGTTGTTTCATTTCTTTATTCTGTCACTTGTTTTTTTTTTTTACTGAAAATAGACTATCAGAAATGTGGGTCTTGATTTTTCATGAAGGAGTTGGTGTTGGGTGCTGAGGCTGTAACAGTAAAGAACTACTAGACAGCCAGAAATCCAAGTAGCCTATTGCAAATATATTGAGAGTTAACAATGTGGTTAACTGGGCTATCATACTAAACCAGATAAGGAATACACCAGTATTTAATAGCCCAGCCTATAATTGCTCACCCTTTCATACCCCTTTCACCCCAACCCTGTCATTCACAAAGGTCTCTTCTAAAGCCCCCCCCCAAAAAAAAAAAAACTTGAGGCTTCAAAAGCAGGTCATGCAGAACCATGCTTGATGACACAATTAGACCCTACCTATTGAACCCCTTTTTAAAAGTTCACCACTCCTTAATATAAGCCTAAATTGTATCCCATAGGTTACCAAATTCATATCTTAAAGCAGTCCAGAGCCGAGATAAACGCACCACGTTCATCTCCAGCCCGGTTTTTCATGTACTTCGTGCGGAAACACTCAGACAAGAGAGGCTGCAGCTCGGCTTCTGAGCTCCCCTCCGTCACAGCTCCCTCTTCCTGCTTTCAAAGTTCCCACGTTTGTCGGAGGACCACCCAGCGGCGCAGAGCACGACGCCGATTAGCTGCGCCGAGCTCATTTGCATTAACGTCAGTAAAGGCTGTAGGTCAATCCTTGCGGGTGCTTTTATTGGATGTGCCGCTGTCAAGCAGTGCTGAAGAATTGGAAGGGCAAACGCCAGAAAAGGCAGAGAAAAGACAAACATAAAATAAGCATTATGTAGCTCTAGTCTGCCTCACCTCCGCTCGCGTCAACCGTGGACGATCCTGCCGCCCCAAAGATTTCAGATCTGAAACTTGTGGACACGGAGCGGTCTTGTTTCTTTTCTCTTTTTTTCTTCTTCTTCTTCTCTTTTTTTTTTTTTTAAAGATTTTTTTTTCTCTCCGTGTGTGTGTGTGTCTCTCTCTCTCTCTCTCTGAAGCGATTGCATTCTCCAGAGGTGGTACCTCCACAGATTACAATCTGACAGCCTCGACATCCTTTTTTTTTTTTTCTTTCTTTTTTTTCGTGCCACAGAATGAGAGAAAAATCTCGCAGATCCTGGTAAGGCTGTAACCAATTGCACCCGGGTTTGGACCTCTACAGCAAGGCGGATCATCCTCAGCTGGGCAGCGGATGCCTTGAATGGAGAATAGGCTACAAGGCATCCACCAAGATTCCCTCGCTCTCTAAAAATCTGTGATAAATGGAGTATTCTGCCGGACTACATGGCATTATGTTTGACGGAGGGTGTTTGACATCGGAGCGAGTGTCCAGAATAACAGTCTGCAGTGTGAATATTTCAGCCTGTTGATGATGAACTGCTCAGGACTGGAGCAAAGTGTCGTGAGAACCGGTTTATGGCCCGTGTCTTGAGCTGGAGTGGCCAACCGGATTGTTCAACAGGGAGAGAGAGAGAAAAAAAAAAAAAAAAAAAAGCATCATTTTTTGATGGCTCCGGGGTGGGGGAGGAAGAATATACATGAAACCCTGGACACAACAAATGGATAAAACTATTGCATGAAGCAGGCAGAGGAGGGGGAAAGACTGCGTGGATTTGTGTGTGTGTGAGTGTGTGTGTGTGTGTGTGCGTGCGCGTGCGTGTGTGCGTGCATGTGTGTGTGTGTGTTTCTTTCAGGCCTGCTTGATAACAGTGAAGTTGTGAGGAGAAATGAGAAAATGGTGATGTGGTACGAAGAAGGCTTGAAGAGGAGCCGGAGTGTGGGATAAAACCGTCTGCTGAAGACCAACGGGATCCAAGTTTTCGAGGATAAGACAGCTGCTTTGATTAAAACATCTCCAATTAAGTTCATGTGAAAAAGCAGAGGGAGGAAATCAGCTTCCTGGTCAGGGGGTGGGTGGGGGGTGGGGGGGTGGGGGATAGAAAGATATATTATTCATGCCTTGTGTCAGAGGAACTGGAGGACTGGCTTTGCTGTGGCCTAGATGATACATACATATGTATTTATATATATATTTAAAAACATGAAACCCTGAGGAGGAAGAGTGAACCTTTGAAACACTACAAAAGAGGACGAATTACACTCTGGTAGCCTCAAAGTAGAGCACTTGCGCAAAAAAAAAAAAAAAGGAAGAAGGCTGAAGTGGGCTGAAGCATGGGCTGTGCTTCAAGTATTCATATCTCTGATAGGGTGGTCTACCACAGTGGAAAAGAGTCCGAGGATTCCCACTCACCCCAGCAGACTAATACCACTCAGCATCAAGGAAATCCTGCCTCGGGACTACCCCTAAAACCCCTGAGCTGCAAGGTGAGGGAACACACACACTCACACACACTTACATTTACAGAGACACAAGAACAAACTGTGAGGGTGAGGAGTGTGTGTTACATAAAGTTTTTTTTTTTTTCTCCATATATAACACAACTGTATATTTCCTCAAAGAAGTATTTTTAGTACAACCATCTGCATAAAACTTGATGTTTGATATCAACATTATAGAGAAAACATAAATAGATTCCAACAAAGACAAAAAGCAAAAAGAGCAAAAACCACTATATCTCTGCAGTACAGGCCCAGCCTCTGTTTTGTAGTTTTTCTCTGAATGCTTGACAGTCCAACTTTTGCTTTTTTAGAAATAAGAGAAACTAGGCCATGATTCACACACTCAGTGAAAAGTCACAGGGTCACAGGCCTCCGCACTAACCTGCAGCATTGTTCTCTTTGTAGTTTTGAAGTAACAGTGGATAGAGCAAACATTTGCTTCAGTCTTCAGTTGCTCCACGTGTATTTTGTTCTTTATAGAACAGAAATCTAAGCGTGAAGCTCTGACGTCTGTTGCCAAACACGTTTCCTATTCAGTTGACAGGCTTTGGCCTCTGCTTCACCTTTCTGCCCAGTTGTAACTCTCTGTGATTTGTCCTCTCTTTCATAAAGTTGGACAGTCATTCACAGAAACATTTAAATCTGAGTGTGACAGGCATATCTGAAAGGTGAATGAGTCGTTACTGAGAAAGATTGAATGACAAAATAGCAAATAGTTTGCCAGCGGGTTGTTATATCATCGCAAAAAATAACAGTCCCATTTGTGTATTGGCCCACAAATAATTACACTAACAGAGGATAACAAAATGTGGCGCGCCTGCTTGAACTAGATAGGTGTTTCTAATCAAGATGATGATTCTTGGTATTACTTGGCATTTATGCATTGTGTAAGAGGTTGAATAAGCACAAAAGTACAACCTATCAGTTTATTTAAATCAGCCGTTTGGAAGTGAGAAAAAAAAAAAGAAAAAGAAAAAAAATGACCCGGCTTTCATGTGCGCATCCAAAATGTTTCATTGCATTTGTAGAAATAATGTAGAAGTATTGAGCAGTGGTGTATTTGTAATGTGTGCAAGTGAAGCTCGTACTGTCATGTTTACAAGTGCATCTGCAGGCGTGTGCAAACACAAGGCATCAGTGCAAAAAAAAAAAAGAAAGCGTGAAGCTGTGAATTTAATAGTGCGTCTGTGTTTTTCTTTTTTTCCCTGAGTATGTCTGCGTTTGTGTGACAGACCGCAGGCTATTTGAGGGGCCTCTGTCAAGCTGAATTTTGTGGCCAAATGTCAGTGCGGGATGCAGTGAGAAGTCAGTGTGACAGATGCCCCCATGTCAAGACGCCCACTGTGCCCTTTGATTGAATTAGTCCCCTGATTGAGTTAGACTAATGGTATACAAATCTCCTTCAGCTGGAAATGGTTAATCCTCGCTATGGAAGGTGTCATCCTTAATGTCCTTTGCGGTTGGCCCCAGTGAGTGCCAGAGGTTTCATTTTTAATGTATAGAAAGTAAGTTATAGTGGCACTCGTAGGAAAAATGTACGTGATCTCTCCCCCATGTTGCATTCAGGGGTCAGGGACATATCCCTACGCTGCATGTTGAAGCTCTTTTGATTTTCTTCTCTCTTTAAAAGATCAATAACTGCCCTTTGTGTTTGCGCACCGACTGGATTTAATAAGGCCTTTTGCAGTTTTGCATTTCATCTGGAATATATTTGGGAGTGGAAACTTTCAGGAGATGTCACTTATTTATTTTATTTTATTTTTTTAAAGTAGAGCCTTACCAGAACCTTGTGCATTTCTATAAAGCAGACCTGGAAGGAAAAAAAAGTCAAATTATCTTTTTGTTTATGGACAGAAACTTAATATGCAACTTTTTTTTTTTTTTGATAAAGATTTTTATTTTTCACACAATAATGCCAAACAGTCTCTGCTTCCAGCTTCTCAAACCCAAAGATGTGTTGCTTTTCTTTATCTTGTGTTGTTGTAAACTGAACGACTTTGGGTTTGTTCTGTTAGTCAGACAAAATAAACTATTCACATATGGCTTTGGGAAATTGTGTGATTGAAAAATTGAGTTTGCACTATTTTTAGACCGACTGATGAGGGAAGTATTGGGAGACTTATCAATAATGAAAATAATTAATTGCAGCCCTAGCACAACCTGCACTGTATGAGTTGGTGTATCTAATTATTACATTTCCAGTCATTAGGATCTGTGTGTGTTGTGATCCTGCAGGGTGCACACACACACACACACACACACACACACACATTCATTCACATCCTCAGACAGCTGCCATTAGACACAGTGAAGTGCACAGGTTTAGTGTTTTGCCAAAGTGCCTTGAACAAAATGTAGAAAACAGTTTTTTTTTTTTTACATTTCCTTTACACTAAGAGAGACAGAGGCAGAGAGGGGAGGACTGTGTATGTGCAGTTGTCTGCAGTGTGAGAAACATTGAATAGAAGTTTGGGAGTGTGATGTGGGTCTTTGTCAAGGCTGTGTTACCATCTGGGCTGCTCCGTCGATGATAAGGCTCAAGTACAAGGTCTTGTGATAGTGGACATTTAGTGTGTGTGTGTGTGTGTGTGTGGCCAAACAGACAGAGAGAGACCTCAGCCAAACACAACACCATTTATCTGGCCTTGACTCTTTCAGTCTGCTTCACCCTCTACTCAAGGAAATCAAGTAGCTCTCCCCTCCCTCAATATGAACGTAGAATCAGTTTTAGCTTTACCCCTTGATAGAAATGGAAAAGGGCAATAAAAGGTGCAAAGCTCATAAGTATCTTGAGAGTAAAACACTCTGATTCCAGCCTCTGCATGCATTAACATAAGTGGTGGAATCACTCAGCCGCACCTCAGACTTCCCCCATTAAAACCCTCCCATCCTTAGCAGTGACTCGGCACACAAAGTTGCTTTTCCAAACTAACGCTTGAATGTTTGCTTGACTCGCAGAACTTTAAAAGTCCCCCCCCCCCTGCTAAACGCCTCTCGTGATGCATGAGACTTTTAAAGAGTGTGAAGTTAAATATGATACACCGGTGACCTAAGCAGTCTCTCTCCATTTGTCCGATTTCACTCTCGCTGTTTTTGTGTGTCCTCACTGGACAGCGGTGTGTGTGAGTGAGTGTGTGTGTGTTTAGTCTAAGTCTCAAGTCATTGGGTAATTTATTCCAGAGGAGGGCAAAGGCTCGGCATGGTGATGAATTAATCCACTGTGCTTTTTCTGCCGGCTGAGAGGAGTCAGACTGATATTGGTTCTTTTTCTGTCTCTTTCTCTCTTTCGCTTTCTTTCATGTGGAGATCAAACTTTCTCTGCTCTTCCTCTTTTTGTTGCCCCATTGCTCTAAAAAAAACCCACAAAACTGTTGTTTTATTTTACTCACATAACCACCATTTTTAAAACATTTGAGAGCCTCCATCTGAATGCTTTTTTCAAAAAAAGTCACAGTGACATTTATGATTTAACGTACAGTAGGAGCGGTTTCCAATAGAAATGCTGACGTTCCTCTGACTTCAATGGCCCTGCTGTTGTCTTTGTCTTGACAGCTGCTGATTGGATCGAGTGCCGGACTCTGCTTATCTGTGTCCATCAAGGATGTCATGTGTATATGTACAATAGGCTTTTATAGCTCAGAGCATGGCACTAACTCCTGGCACGCTGCCACCGTTAGCAGTTTTCCTCCCACAGAGCAGAAGTTGTGGTGCTCTACAGACAGAAACATCAACACAAATCCCACATGTATGTCTCAGAAACAGTTTATTATTTTCGTTTTATGCTTATGTTTATCTTAAGAAGTTCAATGAGTTCAATAAATTTCAGCCAGTTCACTTGCCCGCTTCCATCACTGTAACCCCTGTTGGTTAGCCGTACTAACTGGTCTCATATCTGGCAAACCGAGGGGCGTCCAAATCGGCAGGTGTGGGGGTGCCTTAAAACCGCCTTCCCTCTCTTGTCCAAACAAATACGGACCACTTCTGACCTTAATTGAAACTAAGAAGGAGGACATTCTGGCCAAATTTGACATGTTTACAGCCCAATATTAGGGCTAAAATATATATTCATACATTTGCACAATTGGGGGAGTGACTGATTTAACTGACAAGTGGGTGCATTGTAGCTGTTTGCCAAGAGGCTTAAGGCCCGCCTTTACTCCACCCCTTTGCCTTTTTTCCACATTTATCAAAGGTTAGGTAGTGATAGCATTTTCAAAAGGCGACAACCATCATTTGACTTCAAAACGCCTCTTCATAAACCAATGGGTGACATCACTGGGACTATGTCCATGTTTTATACAGTCTATAGGTCCTTGTATGAACAAGTAGCATACAAATCAGTTTCCACTTGTTGAATTATTAAGGTTAGCTATCTGCAGCAAGTGGCTGAAATTGTGATCGGAGATAAAAAACAAAAAACTTGAAATGTCAAAGTTTTGTATGTGTTATATCAACAAGAGGAAATGTGTTAATAAGTAAGCTGTATAGGAGCTGGTAAGCAAATTTTGTTACCTTTTACGTAGAGCCAGGTTAGTTATAAACAAAACTAAGCGGACCAACTGCAGCTCTAACTTTCTATTTAACAAACAGACATTACAGTGCCATCAATCCTCTGAAGAAGCTGCAGACACTGATAAAGAACACTGCTAAAAATGTGAAACTATTCCTTTAAGACTGAAACATTTTGTCCGTCAAATCTTTAGCATTCACTGACATCAAAGAAAACGTCTTGACGAGCTTTAAAATATGACTTAAGCTGTTCATTATGTTTTATCTAAACACATCTGCAGTGTGACAGTGTTTTCCTTCCTGTCTGGAGTGTCTGCAGGGGCAGAAGGGTGGGGTAATTATTTTTGTTGCTTTGTCATTTATCTCCACTAGAACTTGAGCAGAAGGAGTTTAAAGGAAGCAAGATGGGGCCTATGGAGCGCCCACCGTCCAGTGATTGATGTCATGCGTTACAACTTTATTTATACGTTTTATTT